GCCACACTGAGCCTTGTTGGTTACGCTAGTGTGCCCCCAAGATCATCCGACATGAAAAGCAGCAAATCTATGCAAAAACTGAATGCATCAACTTCTTCAATTTCAGCAAATCAAAACTGAGCTATCCCTGTTTCTGTGTTCATAATTTTATGAAGTAATTTTGTCACCATATTATGTTGCTGTTAGCAATGTTCAAATGCCAAAAAAATAACTCTTTGGGCTCTTGTGCTGCTAAAAAATTATCTTCGACCCAGCTTCTGTTCATTCTAAATGAAAATAAAAAAATAAATAAATTAGTTGCGGTGAACGTGGATCGAACACGCGACCGTCAGATCTTCAGTCTGACGCTCTCCCAACTGAGCTCTCCCCACTTGAATGTGGATGGCGTCGTGAAATTACCTTAGTAAACAACCGGTGTCAGCAATGTTAGAACTCTTTAGACTTTTGGGCTGCTAACAAATTATCTTCAGCCCAGCTGCTCTTCACTCTGAAATGGATCTGATGAGCTATAACAAACTTGGACCTCCTGGCATTAATGCCCTATATATGTAGACACCTTATCGCGGCCCACCTCTGGTTAGGGTGGAATAATGGAATATGGATCTTTTGTTTGCCGCGTAAAAACCGAAACAAAAACAAAAAGAATGTGAATAAGATAAGTGGTTTAGTGATAATTACGAAATAAAATATTTTGAGTTTGAGTTGATAGCTAAATTAAGGAAGTATTATAGAAAATTAAAGTTTATTGTGTAATTCAAAATTAAAAAAAAAAAAAAAATCTTAAGTGGTGATGACGTTCTAATACTACAATTTACTCAATCTCAAGTCATTTTTTACCCCAAAAAAACAAAATCCCAAGTCATGATTCCGTGATGTACTAATTTAAATTATCATGATCCAGGAAGAGTTAAAAAAGAGTTGAAATCAGGAGCCATTCTAGATTTCCATTTAATTGGTTTTCTTTTTTGCACCATCCAAGAAGTTACAGACTTAACAGTTGGTCTACCAAACAACAACACTACATTCAGGAAGGCCAGCTTCATGCACGCCAATTCCACGTACAAACATACTGATATAAAATATTCATATTATAATTATATTGATTTAATTCATATTATAATTAATTGATATAATTAAATTAATTGATTTTATATCATAAAATATTCTCTTATACACACTTATAAATAAGTGAAATTAATAAAAAAAGAGTTTTTTTCTTCATATATCTTTATATTTTTCTTCTCTTTATTTTTTTTTATTATGTTAACAGAGCCTTGAGGTTTTTTTACTATTATTGTTCATGTCCTTTGTGAGTTGCTGCTTTGCTTGTAAGTGGTGTCGATCATCATCATCTTTGCTTTCTTTCTTGAACTTATTTGCAATTGGGTTTTCTTGATCATGTTCCTTTGTTACGCCAGCAACACATGTTGCTCCAACCTTCTCGCATCCAATTACTATTGATTTTGCTCTTTATTTCTTGCAGCCGATTTTCCTCTTGGTTTCTCACAATTGAACTTTCGACATTGCTGTTGCCCAAATATGATATTGTCTCCTTCTCTTCCAATAGTGTCAACTATACCGATTTGCATATTCAGTATGTACATCTTTTCACCAAAAACTCACTTTCTTGGACGCTTCCGCACTCTTCTTTCTAAACTCAAGCTAGTTTCCTCATTATCACATTATAATTATGTTAACTGGATTCACATTATAATTGATTAATATAATTAGGTTAATTAATTTTATACCATAAATAAAATTAAAAAAAAAAACTCTTTCTTTCTTCATATATCTTTATAGTTTTCTTCTCTTTATTTTTTCTATCACATACATTACATTACAACTTACTAGTCTACGACAAAAATGATAAGATTTGTTAACACCAAGATCAATTAATTGGCCCCTTATCTTCCACGCGGTATCATTAACTTGACCATCTAGCTTGCAATTTTGTCTACAAAAGAATCTTGACTTATTAGCTGTGGTTATTGTCTTTGTAAAAATTATTAAAGTATTAATTTTTTATTTTTTTAAAATAATATTTGAAAAAAATCAGTTTATTAACTTA